GGAGGAAAGATCTTCCTTCTGATAAGCAGGGCACCCCCATCTGTTAAATGTTGGGAGGTTTTGGTGATAGTGGTGGTGACGGCAGTGTTTGCCAAGAGCAGACAGGAAAAGTCATAGCGAAGAGCACGTACACCAACAGACAGTGGCCATTTTGGCTAAATGGAACTACACTATTTACAAGTGATCTTCATCTCTATACTCCATGGTGTTTCTTCCTTCTGATAAGCAGGGCACCCCCATCTGTTAAATGTTGGGAGGTTTTGGTGATAGTGGTGGTGACGGCAGTGTTTGCCAAGAGCAGACAGGAAAAGTCATAGCGAAGAGCACGTACACCAACAGACAGTGGCCATTTTGGCTAAATGGAACTACACTATTTACAAGTGATCTTCATCTCTATACTCCATGGTGTTGGAAAGCACTGCCTTCACACTCTAGTTTCATAGCCTCAAAGATTTCTGGATGGACACTTTTAAAAATCATGCCACACTAAAATCAGCTTTTCCCAACTTGGCATCCACCAGATGTAACTTTGGGATTTCGACTCCTGTATCTCCTGTCGGTCTGGACAATGGTCAAGGATGCTGGGGACTGTGGTCCAAAAAACCCCGAAAGGCACTCTATTTAGAAAGACGGCACTAGATGAATGTCAGCCTCACACAGTTCTTGAACAAGAATCATGGTCATTCCACCATGAACAAGCACTGGATTCCTCTCACATCTCTCGGTAAGACATTCATCTTCCCAATGCACAAGAAAGGCAAGTAGGCAGCTTAAGGGGTCCCACAACCCACCAAGCATCTTCTTGAGGTGGAATTTGAACTCTCCACCTTTTGCTCCAAGGCAAACAGAACCCGGCCACTCTCTTTCAAGAACCAGGTGCATATTTTACCTTCAGTGAAGACTGGACTATATTTGGGTAGGAATTATTGCAATCAGAGGAGTTAGAAGAGTTAGGATTTATCCACAGGATTCACTGGCACCAGTGTGTGTGATGATAGGCATGGGGACACGTTTAAGTGTGGAATAGAAAAAGGTACTATGATCCAAAACTTGTCGGCTAGCATGGGCTGCTTAATAGCCTGGAAAGTCTCGCTTTGTAAGAACACTCCATAGAACTCCAGAATCTCCAGAATGCCACACATGTTCAGTCTAGCTACTTTGCAAAGTGGGATGCTCAAGAATTGTTTAAGCATACATGGTTTGAGGGTTGGGGGGTCACACAGGATGCTTGTTAATTTCATGTCCATTTTTTTCAAGAATTTAGCTAGGATGCATATGGCCTTTATCAAATGGGTGGTATACGTACATGCATGCACATATGTACGTATATAAGTAACTTTAATTAAAACATGAAAGGTTTACTCACTAAAAACTTAGGAAGCATGAACAGCAGCTCTGAAACTTACAGGGATTCTAACCACTACTAGAGAACTTCTAGATATTCTTTGCAAAAATGCCCCAGTATTGTGAAAGATATTAACAAGAAAGTCCAACGATTAGAAAATGTACATACCTTCCAGTACAGGGGGGATCAGGAACAGAATGATGTCAAAGGGCTATTGCAGCTCAATGCAATAGCCTAGCAGAGCCCCACCTCAAGCATCCTGCCCAAGGGAGAAGCAGTAGCTATGAAAACATAGGCCCTGGGAGGAAACAGCTTAGTAACAGGCACAGTCATGCAGGAGCAGGGAGATACCACTTTAAAAACTACATAAGTTACAAGCTTTCATGAGTAAAATCTCACTTCTTCAGGCAGTGCATCACCCCTTCGTTAGTGCATAAACTGACCTGCAATAAAAATTGCAGGTCGGAGTCTCAGAAATTCATGGCAGATGTCCACGCTGAGTCTGCTTGTATGGGATGAGTTAAAGTTAGCTGGGAGGTGTAATTCCAAGCATCCTTCCTTGTAATATGGTTGGAAAATGAATTTTTGAGACTCTGACTTTGTTTTCATGCACTTGCTATTAAGAGGTGGTGCACAGTCTGAAGAAATGAGATTTTATCCACAAAAGCTTGGAATCTGTGTGTTTTTTTTAGTGGTTCAATTAAGATATCACTCTATTATTGTTTTCTCAACCACAGAGCCTTTCCCTATTTTTTTCTGGATATACAGTCATGTTTCTACACTACAGTATCCTGTATTCACCAAACTGTTAAGTATCAATTGCAAAGTTCAGTTTAGTTTTCAAATATGAGCAGCAGGTTTCCCTTATTCAGGAAGGAAAATGTAAATCTTTAAAAGTAGGTAGGCATGGCTTCATGGGGGAAAACAGAAGTTGTGCCAAAATGTGTAGGGTGTGGTTGTGTGAGCGAGCGAGCAGAAGATGCAGAATTCTTGGAAGTCAGTTCATGAATGTTCATCCCATCTCACCACAGATGTTTTTAATCTTACAAGGAAGGATTGTTTGAGGAAGTGGAATTGTCCACGAAAGGTCACATTAAACAGAACAATGGTTTTGTCTTTTATTATTATTTTATATATTTAGAGAAATATATGCTCTACTCCCCCACTTCCTAGCTATGGATACTGGTGGGGAGAGAAAGAGAGGCAGAAGAGGCACTTGTCCTAAGGTTACCCCTTTTCCGGGTGAATGAATGCACTATTCCCAAATAGAAGGCAAACAAATGAAGGGAAAATAGACAACTATAGAAATAATGCAATCAAGGGAATATGGGTGGAGGAATAAATACTGGCAAAGGTAGGAACTATAGAAAGAATGACAGGATAGAGTTGGGGGGGCAGGCGGTGTCAACTTTCAAAATCCCTAGAGCCATCTCTGGTCATTTTGGTGCCTGAAGCTTTGTTGCAAATGCTACCTTGCCTACATCCAAGTTGAAACACAATGTATCCCAAAGGTTATTTTGGCACAAGAAGCAGAAATATACTTCCAGCACCTCTCTGTTACTATTGCATTATTTACTGTCAAAGGTGCAAATTAAATAACTAACCATTCACTGCCCCTCACATGATGTCCAAAGCCTGCTCCTGGAGGGCAGCAATGTTAATTTGTATAACGGTAGGGCCGGTCCTGAAAGTCTCTCTCAAATATTCAATCCAGTCCAGGTGCAAGACAAGTTTAACCGGTTACAGCCACGCCAAAATTTTCAGCATTAGAATTGCGGGAGGATCCTGGCTATTCAGGAAATCTGGAGCAGGAGTGAATCACAAGTGATGGTTGCGACTCCCCATGGCTGACCAAGCAGCCCCCAAAAGTACGAACACTGTAATGCTGAGTAGGACTATGATGATCACCAGTCCTCCAGAGGCACCTTTGAACTCAACGTCTATGGACCGGAAGCTAAGGGGCAGATCTAAAAGGAAAGGAATGAAAAAAGAACAAAAATTAAAGTGCATAAAAGCTCTGTGTTTTGAGGACATGTCCTCCATTAGGAGGCCTGGAAAGTCAAAGGGAAGACTCACGCATCGAACTTCCGCCACCACCTCCAACCTCACCTCGGGTTTGGAAAGGTTGCGACCAATTTGTGGCAGCAAGGAGACTCTGGGCTTGATTGTAAAGAACGTAGCGGACACTGCCCAAATGGAGAGAGAAGAGGATCAGATTTTGCTTTGCAAAAAGTGACAATTTTAACTTTTCATAGTTGACACACAGACACATCCTGGATCTCACTCTTCTCCTGGAGATCTACCTACTCGATGGGCTGGAAACTCCTTTTTGAGTTTTATGGCCAGTGCCAATGACAGATATGCGAAGCAAAACAAGCTAATGTGCCAGCTGTGGAAAATCCCTGCTGTGACAACAAGATGTTTTCAGCACATAAAGAATGACCTCTTCTAACAACATGCTACTCATAATGTCAACTTTGACCCTATCTTGCTGTCTTTAGGAATGGGGAAGGACGTTGTCTCATTGCCAGCATGGAAGTCATATTCATTTTGCAAATCCACTTTGCATTATACCCCTTGCCTATGGTTGCAAAACATCTTGGAAATGTCTCAGAGTGAGTTATCAAAATGTCTTCTCCACTAATGCTAACCAGGTGTGTAGATGGCGAGCCAATTCCTCTTGAAACTCATTGGATGGCAAAGAGCAGAAGAAGAAAGCAGAAACATCTACAAATGGATAGAGGAAGGTAGGTAACAGCTATGCACAAGAGGAAAAGCTAGTTTCAGCCACATGAAGCGTACTGTGGTGGATTGGTCCCTGAATTAGTTTGAGACCTGAGACCATGAAACCACTAACCAGGTGTGTAGATGGTGAGCCAATTACCTCTTGAAACTCATTGGATGAGAACCAGTGTGGTGGATTGGTCCCAGAATTAGTTTGAGACCTGAGACCATGAAACCGACTGACTGACTGACTGACTGACTGACTGACTGACTGACTGACTGATTGATTGATTGATTGATTTGGAGCCAGCCACTCCGTCTGCATCCGCAGGACTCATCCTTGTGGAATGATCAATAAAACAAAATCCCAGGCAACAAGGTGGGCAACTTTCAAATGAGGAGGGACCCATCCAGAGAGCCAGTCACTCCATCTGCATCCGCAGGACTCATCCTTGTGCAATGATCAATAAAACAAATCCCAGGCAACAAGGTGGGTAACTTTCAAATGAGGAGGGACCCATCCAGAATCACATCAGGACTTAAGAGTCGTATCCCTCGTGCCATTCCACCCCACCCCACCTTTAGAAACATTTACTCCAAAAGTCCCCCTCGCATCCTTGAGAGGACTCTGGGGCCAAATTTGCTGGTGTACTTACATTCCTTTAAGCTGTTTTAGGTCCAGGAGAGATGCCAACTAATTTCCTGTGAACCTTTATGTAATCAAAACCACTTAATAAGCAGAGGAAGTATCAGTGGTGTCAGGGGAATTCCAAAACTTTCAGAAGCACAAACACCATAAAACCACCACAATATTCCAGGTAGAAACCCCTAAGAGGGGACTAAGGGACCCAGAAACAGCACAATGGGGTGTGAGCATGCTCACAGGGCAGAGAGCCATGACCGATGCTTTGGAGTAGGGATGAAGTGAAAAAGAAGTCCATTGAACGTAGGCATGGCCAGCACCTTAGAGGTGAACAGGAACACTCTACGCTTTAATATCTCATTGCAGTCCCTACTTGCGTTAAAAAATATAAAGCCATCCCAAGACTCCGATATAGTACCATCCATATGAAAGCAAATTCAGGCAGATGCTCCTCCAGGAATGCCTTCCCACTCAGAGTAAGGGGAAAAAATGTAATGACAGTGGAACAGCTTCCTAATACAGTGGGGTCTCTACTTAAGTACGTCCCTACATAAGAACAATCCAACTTAAGAACAGCTCCATTTGCTAAATTTTGCTTCTACTTGAGAACAGAAATCCAAGATAAGAACAGGAAAAAAACCTTTCCTGCTCTTTTTTTAACCTTAGGTCATCTTAGTTTTTTAAAAAAATTCTCCCCCTAATGGTAGAGTACGTATTAACCAGCTTTGCATTAGTTCCTATGGGAACTAATGCTTCAATGTACGAACGGACAGTGGAACAGCTTCCTAATAAATTAGAAGAGTGTCTTTGGAGGCATAAGAGATCACCTGTATCCATGGCCAGGAAGGACAGCTTTTGTGCAGCTCTCGTTGAAGCAAATCAAAGTGGGTCCCATCTCATAAGCAAGGCCTTCCTCTAAGACAAAGGGATCCTCCATCATTGGACTGCAATGGGGTACAGGGAACCTCCGTCCAATTTTGTAAGTGCTGTTGCTTCCTAGAAGAGAAGAAGAATGACCTTCAAAATGGCCCGCTCTCCTCTACAGCAATGGTTCCCCACCATGGGTCCCCGGATGTTCTTGGACTAAAATTCCCAGAAGCCTTCATTACTAGCTGTGCTGGCCAGGATTTCTGGGAGTTGTAATTCAAGAACATATGGGAACCAAGGTTGGGATGCACTGCTCTGGATGTTGTCGAACTATACCGTTCATATCATGCATGGCCACTTTTTCAATGCATTCCTATGGGAAATGCAGATTCAACATAAAAACTTTTCAACTTGAGAACCACCTTCCAATATGGATTAAGTTCTTAAGTAGAGACCCCACAGTAAATGAGAAGAGTGGCTTTGGAGGCATAAGAAATCACCTGTATCCATGGCCAGGAAGGACAGCTTTTGTGCAGCTCTCGTTGAAGCAAATCAAAGTGGGTCCCATCTCATAAGCAAGGCCTTCCTCTAAGACAAAGGGATCCTCCATCATTGGACTGCAATGGGGTACAGGGAACCTCCGTCCAATTTTGTAAGTGCTGTTGCTTCCTAGAAGAGAAGAAGAATGACCTTCAAAATGGCCCACTCTCCTCTACAGCAAGGGTTCCCCACCATGGGTCCCCGGATGTTCTTGGACTAAAATTCCCAGAAGCCTTCATTACTAGCTGGCCAGGATTTCTAGCAGCTGCAATCCAAGAACATCTAGGGAGCCATCTGGGAACTCCTGTTCTAGAGGATCAAGTGGTAGAAGATTCCTTTACACATGTCTTCCTCAACCTGACTCCTTCCTTTTTAGGTATAAATGCTAGCTGTGATGGTCAGAGGCTTCTGATTTTTCCCTAGAGGTCTATAAAGTACTGTAGAACTCTTAAAGAGACCTCACATTATCGGCAGGATGGAAAAATACAGAGCAGTGCTCTCTGGTTCTCTCTATTGACCAATTTTGATATTGCAACTTGCAAATAGTTACTAAAATACAAAAGGGGAAAAAATAAAGGAACATTTCCCTTGTGATTTAGGACTTGTAGTAGAATAGCATAAAACCTGAAAAATTCCTGCGTAAATGCTGCTGAGAAGGCCTTAAAATCCGCTTAAAAGCTATTTTTGAAAGTACCTGGAAAAATTCCTTATTGCACTTAAAAATATTACCATTACACCTAAAACGTAACTTTGCCACTACTTGTTACACTGATATGACTGTTACATTTATTAGCTACATTACTTTCAACTAGCTACTCTGCTTCCACCCACTGACCCATCCTTTCTCATACCCGCTGGTTTCACTTCCACTTCTATGGTTGCTGTCCAGCGGGTAGCCTGGCTAGGATCTATGGCTTTTCTGGTCCATTCCTCGTACAGGCAGTAGGCAGGTCGGAGCCAAAGGAGAGTCGAGAGCCTGGAGTCTTCATGATATAAGGACACTGGACAATCTGCTGGGCAGAGGAGAAAGATGGAAAGAGAGCTTTTGTTTCAGCTTGTTTCTTTTCAGTATTTATCAAAATGCACACAAATTTGAACATGAGAGAACGCAAACTTGGTAGATTTGTCATGCCTTACTTAAGGATGGGTGTGGATTTTTCAGTTTGTTTTGAACCAGATTTTACTAAAATATGAAAAATTTACAAGTGGGAGAAAGTGGAACAATTAAATTTGAAAGTTCATGATGTCTCTAGCTATGAGGGGAGATCACGAAGGAGGGGAAGGGAAGCTTAGGCCTTATAGTTCCCTTCCTGTTATTACTTTATCATTGCATTTGTTGCATTTATGTCTTATCTTTCTGTTGGAATTTTATTTGCAACCTCGTAGGTTGTCTGTAGTTAGTGTGACTTGAGGTTATTGTCTCTCTGCCCAGCACTAATGAATTGTTCCCTCCAGCCTTTGGATTTGAAAAGAGCCCTGCCTCTCTGCTGAGTGTTCTCTTTCCCTCTCTTTAGTCTGTTGGAAGCAGTTGTTTGTTTGCTGTTGATCTGTTCAGTCGGTTGCTCAATATGTGTGCTGTAAAGAAAGCAGCATACCCCAGTCTATAATTTCAAGCAAATGTCTCAGAGTGAGTTATCAAAACTTTATGTGCCAGTTCATGAGAAGGAGGGGGGGCTGTCTGGGTTGCTTGTAGCTATTCTTCTCTGGATCTCTGCACCTACTGCATAGCAAACAGAAATTTTACCAGAAGTTCAAAACTCCAACACTTTCCTCCAGTGAACTCAAAGTGATGTGCACAGCTGTTATTCCCTTCTCTTTATGGCTACAATTACCCTGGGAGTTAATCAGGCAAAGTGACCATTACTGGCCCAAGATTATCCAGTGCGTTTTATGATTGCCTTGGAATTTGAACTCAGATCTTTTGCATTATAGTCCAAACTGTAACCACCATACCACACTATGTTATATGATTTTGTTCTCCACAGCTGGTATTCCCTCTCTACTTGGTTAACCACAGATGTGGTTATTATTCTACGCAGAGCCTGGCTCCACACACACGTTCTGCTAATGGGCCTACCACCTTCTGATAATCCAAGAATTTCTATGTGCATCATATAGGCTCATTCATCAGAAAGCCATGACTAGGTGAATTTTCTCACTTTGTACCCATACGAAGACAAACCAAAGCTTAGACATTAAAAAAGTTTTTAAAAAGTAACTTTCCAAGCTCTCTAACCAACTCTGGTTACTTTCCTTTAAAACCTTTCAAAAATACTCAGATATAATTGGTGCCTTCCCCACAGATTGAACATGAACCTAGCTATATAGGACTACTCTATGCAATAGTTACCTCTGATACATCTAATCTCAACCCATCATGAGGGAGTAAGGGCAACAGGCCCAGTTATAGTTTCCCATCACACACATTTTCTCCCTCTGCTCTGGAGGAGCCAGAAAAACACCCTGTTGTTCAGCTCCACCTATGCAAGCTGGATGATGGCGTAGATTGTCACAGACTGGACTTCCTTTTTTATTATTTTGAGGTGTGCACAGCTTGTGTGCAATGAGACAAAGTTGTGTGCACCCTGAAAATTTGAAAAAGGAAGTCTTTAATCAGTAGCAGTCAGCCACTGATGATGATGTCATTCCCATTACACAGTGTGCACCCTGAAAATTGAAAAAGGGAGTCTTTAATCAGTAGCAGTCAGCCACTGGTGATGATGTCATTCCCATTACACAGGCCAGATTCATCCAAGAGGGTTTGGGCCAGAGTCTCTTCTCAGTGTTATCCTCAAGACAGCTCTGTCGTCAGGCTGAGAGAGAGTGGCTGGTTCATAGTCATCAGCATGGGCTGGATGATTCTGAACTTGGATCTTTCCAGTTGTAGCCCAGTTCTAATTAAAATACTAGGGTGGGAAACATTTGGTCCCCTTTGTAGTTGGACTACAACTCATGTCTGCCTAACCAGTTGGCATAACGAGTAATGAGGTATGAGAATTGTACCTTAACAACCTCTGGAGGGCTATAAGTTCCCCCATCCCTGTTCACACCAGCTTGCACTGTGGGCAAGAATAGCTGCCCGGGGGGGGGGGGGCGCTTGTAGTTGGACTACAACTCAGGTCTGCCTAACCAGTTGGCATAATGAGTAACGAGGTATGATTAGAGTTGTAGATTAACAACCTCTGGAGGGCTATAAGTTCCCCCATCCCTGTTCACACCAGCTTGCACTGTGGGCAAGAATAGCTGCTCGGGGGGGGGGGGGGGGGGGGT